GTCGTAGCAGCAGCTGTGGGCTGGGGTGGTGATGGTGATGATGACGGCGATCGAGGCCGTGTCCGCTTAGACATGCCTGAGGGAGCATGCCTTATAAAGCTACGTACAGTGGTCCTCCTACTGGCGATGACTTCCAGCAGCTCATCGTATTTCTCTGGGCTATCGGCAAATCTGAATGAGACACATTGAGAGGAGGCAGACCCGCACAGGTTCGATCCCTGCACGGGTCAATTTCTTACAGGCATTTGGCTTGATCGAGATATTGCTTCATTTCTTCCACCTTGAGCCTAACCTTAGCCCCCGATGTACTGATAGTAGCCGTACTGGCGGCAGCGCTAGCAGGCCGACTCTGTGGTATAGGAGACGACGCCGATGTAGGGGAGGCGACGGCGGCCTCTATCACCGCCGAGGGGGCGGCAGCCTGACTTGCCTCTGGGGCTGCTGGCAAAGGGGTAGGAGTAGGAGTAGGGGGACTACCCTCGTGGAAAGACATAAACGGCTGAGAGGATGGACGAGTGGTCGCCTATCGGCCAACACAATAACGACAGCGACAGTAACAACAACTATGAACATGGTACGAGAGTAGCGATAACTAATATAACGAAAATGGCAAGTCTGCTGCTTCGCTCCGCCCCATTTTCCTCTTCATTTCGTATGGGCTCTTGCCGAACACCAGCAAGGAATTCCGAGGAGTTAAAATCTGTATGTAGATGGGCATGATTCAACCCAAGAGAGGATGCTTACCCCGACACGAGGCTGCGACCTTATCAGCAGTACCATCTGGGAGGCTACTCTCACAAGGCGGAGGGTCGGCCGACCACCGGGGGTCGATCATCGCGCTGAGGAGGCCGATGTCATACCCTGAGCGGAGCGATGTTGGGATGTAGTTGGAATCAGGGGCCTCACCGATGGAGCAGTAGCAGATCTTCACCAACTCTGAAGTGAAGTCAGTCAATCGACGACACTCTACATGATCGTTGATACATCGGCCGAGGTTACATGTGGATATCTGGGCAAATGGGAAGGCTCCCAACCGCAAACGTCTCCATCCCGAAGGTCTCGCGATCAATTCCCGCACCCTACCTCTCCGCATGTACCACACAGCTTCTCGGCTACACAGGAGTACTGCTGATCGTCCCGAAGAGCCTCATACCTGTCGGCACCCACCATCGACAGCGGCAGCAGGGGGAACTCCCTCCTCACCCTGCCTCAGGGCCTCCTGAGAGGGCTGCTTCGATCAATGGTGGAGAGAACACCAACGCCTCCAATAGAGCCACTGGCTCGGAGAGTTCCGGACACTTATCAAGACAGGGAGCCGGGTCCCATACCGAAGATGCCTCTATGATGGGAAGAAGGAGGGGAAGATGAAGCATGGCTAACAGATGAGGCCGGGCCCACTCGGTAACTCGAGATGATAGGTGATAAGGAAAGGATGGTAGTAATAATGGTATACAATGGGATACAGCAATCACTAGGATGATACACGACGACAAGACGATCAACGCTTTCCTGCGGAATGGCGAGTGTGACAATCAGTTGGTAGGAGACGTTTGCTCGATTCCACCTGAAAGTGGGTAATCGAAAGATCCCTGGTTCGACCCCCGCAACAGCTCACTTTAATGTCCATCAGCGGTGGTCCCTTGGGAGGGAAGGTCCCTATTGATTCTTCAGGAGGCTGCATCAAGTCATCCGGTAACTGTCCGCTCACCCACAGTGGCTCTCCATCAAAACACAGACGATCGAAGAGGTTCCCCTCAGCATAGCTGTGTAGTACCCCTCGAGCGTTGCGGACGCTCCCTGTCACTAACCCTGAAGAGAGATGAGGTTGGACGGGAGAGGCGGATGACTACCAGTAGATGGGTCGGCTATGGACAGCTCGCAGCTGCCTCCTGTATCACCAGCGATGCTGATAGAGATCCCTCCTTCCCATCGCAGCAAACAGTGCTTAGACGAGCCACTCATAGGCCGACACACCTGATGAGATCCCAGGTTCGATCCCAGCACCTGGCATTTTCTTACGAGTTTCGGCAACTGCGTAATCCTAGCTGTGACAGCCTTGCTGGACGGTCGTTTACTGCTTCGCTCCGCTATAATATTATCATTGGCACTACTAAGGAAATCGATGTAGTGATGGCCGGTCAAGTTGAGAGCTATCCCGGCAGTCCTATGGCGCAGTGATGGAGGCAAGAGGGACACACCATATCTGAAGTAGAGCAGGTCCCTGGTTCGAACCCCACGCCCGACACTCACTGCATGGTCCCTCTCTGAGTCCACTGTCCACCACCCTTCTCCTCCGTGACCAAGTAATGTGCATGGTTAGAGCTGACAGCTTCCCAGCATATCTCAGCAGCCTGACCTCCCCTCCCTCCTCGCCTCGGGATCACCGCCTTGCATTGACACGTGTCCCCGGCTATTATCACGGCTTTAGAGGACGCAGTGGCCGTCGCTAGGAAGGCATCGCTACTTTGAAGGGCACATAGGAGACGTTGGAGACTACCCACGATAGAAGCAGCGACCAGTTGTAACTGAAAATCAGAATCACCTACTCCAACAGTTGAGCAGCGGGCGAGATTAAACACCCCGGTTCAACCCGAGCATGCCGCATTTCTCCTACCGCTCGCGTCGAATCATGATTCACAATAGCAGTGCTCGCCCTTGGCATGTAGATACTCGATTGAACGAACATATACGACAACGCTGAGACATATAAGACAACATGAGCGACAGGTTAGACCAGTGCTCTCACCTAAGAGGGTCGACATTGCTTTATCCTCTCCCTCCGATGGCCCTCCTGCCCTTCCCACCACTGCCTCCTCAGAGTTGTGTAGCAGCGCCGTCTTCAATGCCGAATCGATACCAGCTACCCCGTAGGGCAAGGGCAGCTCTACCCAGCCTCCAGGAGAGCGTCTAATAGCGTGGACGCTGCCTCCACGAGGCATACCCAGATCCGGTATAGAGGGACAAGGGCGAGGACATACCACTGTGATGAGCTGTAGGGCACTGAGGAATTCCCTCACGAAGGTTAGACTCCCTCTAGCCTTGCCAGGGCCTCCACGTGTGTGCATTATGACAGACAGAGAGGCGGATGAGGCCTGGGGGTAGAGAGCCCAACAGGTATACCTCTCACAGTGCTCTTGTTCGTGATGCATGATCATCAACGACGGCAGGACCCCCTCGGGCCTCGGTCGGATGATATGCTCTACCATCTGCTTCCCTCGATACTGCACTAGCCCTGTACTGGACAGCCTCGAGGCCGCTCCCCCGTTGAGTGCAGGGGTCCACTTGTGCCACTCAGAGATGTCCAATAAGGCAGCCTCAATAAGGCCACTATTGGCAGTAGGGAGGGTAACCTCTCCCACTACTACACCACTACAGGTGCCTTGTTGCACTGCACTCAATACAGGTAGGAGCTCCATCACAGCCATGACCCACATGGCAAGGGTGAGGACGGCTAGGGGCGTCATGAAGGCTCCTGTGATCGATAGGACAAAGAGAAGGCTCGTAAGGATAGCTAGAGCAATGGATAAAGGGATGGAGTAGAAGTCCACAAGGGTAGCCTCCGACCAAACTTTTGATAGAAAAACTGTTAAATTGGCATCCTCTGCGCCCCTCTTAACTTCTCTCCACAGTCTCAGGCCTTTATCTGTCGACCTGAAATGATGAACTATAGGACCCAGGTTCGATCCCCACACCCGACAACTTACACCACACACATGTCATTCCCCTGATATCCACACCGAACGAACCTCAGAAGCCCCTCTATGCCCTTAGCAGGCTCCTTAGGCAAGTACCGCGTATAGTCTTCGGACAGTAGACCCCCACCCGTGTGCTCAGCCGCCTTCTTAGCCACCGGCTCTACCCCACTGGGCTCAACCTCACGTCGTGCCTCCTCGATCTTGCTAGGAGTGGGTTCAACACTAGAATGCTTAGGGGAAGTTTCCAAAGGAGTGGTAGGGACAGTAGCCCTATCTGCCGCCTCTTGACACCACGACATCCATTGTCTGGTCTCACCTTCGCTACCACCAGATACAATGATCTGCCGACGGGTCTCTCGGGGCATCTGAGGAGCAAAGTCTATAATTTCGTGGCGCGTGACGGAACTATATGGTACCACTATAAAGGCATGTTCCCGTCCCTTATGGGCTCCACACCACTGCACTACCGCACCTCTCATCGATATGCTATCCTTCGGCCTCAGTTCCCTCGAGTCACGATAATAGCTCAACACTGACCCCGACAGGAGGAAGTACCTACACAGTGGGGGGACACTCCAGCGCTGCCTCGATAACCGTGTCACCACGATCTGTCCAAACGCTGCTAATCTAAGTTCTGTCACTGAGGATCGAGTTTGAATTTTTTATCCGCAGTGAAATGATAGTACGAATCTCTTTTTCCGTTCGTAGACCATCAAATTTGTATTCTTTCGGATGATACCAAGACGGTCAGCGGCTGAGCTCAACCCTCTCCTACCAAGCCGAGAATACAAATATCTATGCGACTATGTACAGATCAACTACATGAATTAGGGAATCGCCATCCCCGCGCCCAGAGGTTACCTCTCATTCCAACTTGTATTAATGATACCATCTCCCAGCTTAAACAACGATCCAGCCCTTAACACATCCCGTCCTGCCTTCCTAATCGATTTAGCGCTCGCCCCGTTGATCGATATGTCGATATTATTAACACTAGCACTCACACTCGTCCGCGCTGGATCTACGGGTGATGCGGAGACCATGAGCAGACCAGTGGTATCCTTATTTGACATTCGGCTGGCAGTACGCGACCTCCCCCCAGGGCTATTCTGTGAGGCATCCCCATCCACCTCTGGGGTATCCTCACCCTCCGCCACTTCACTTATGTCGGAATCGTCTGGGACCTCCACCCCTTCCTCGATTCTCTTGTCCCGCCAGAATTTCCTTAACCTCCTCTGGACCTTATCTTCCATCAATCTAATATCGTCCATGGTCAACCCTGCCCATTCATCAGCCCAACACACACACTTTCGATGATACCTAGCAAGGTTAGACATACCCCAATTACTGTATCGGCGGCCTACTTGAAGAGGGTAGTCTTAGTAGCCTTCACAATGAAGCTTTCTACCCTATTCTGCATCATGAACCCCGGGTTGCAAGTAACATGGATAACCTAAAGCCCGGTAGTAGTAGTAGGGGAGGAGGGCTAACGACAGGCCCACCTTATAGCACGTCATGATGGGCCGGGTAGTCTCCATCCAGTCCGGCCCCAATGGTCCTATACCGAGCTAGCGAGGGGAGGAATATACACTCACTACAACAACCCTATAGACATTACCTTTTCGCTATGCCACTTGGAGGGATCCTCCTCAGGGTTGTAGTCCTTACTAGATATATGATCGTTGACGATATCAATAAAATCGATTTTCCGTTTAGCTAGGTCAGTGTCTGATTTGAACACCCCTCAGACCCCCTCCGAGCCTCTGTGAGTACCATCCATTTTCAGCGCGTTATCATCAGTACAGTTGCCTTCGATATGCATACTGTCGATTTCCATGGAGAACTCGCTGAGCATAGGACAGGAGTAGACAGTGCGGCATCGAGGGAAGGCGTTCCAACTCTTCTCATCGAATACCAGCCAATCAGGATTGACCAACGAGGTGACCCAAGAGGGTAAATACGGTGCTATAGAAATACGCTTATGGGTGAATTGACCCTGGGTCTCTCCTGAGAGAGTATAACATCATAACCCACTGCACTAAATCATTGCTATTAACCCAACACCCTCCTAACTACCATCATCATATGGCTCATTAGTGACCACTTCCACACCGGCCCCTCCAGTAGTGTCCTCCAGACTAGACTTGGCCACCATATACAGCTGAGCCACATGGTACTGCTCTACCTCCATTGGAAGAACTATTCTATACTCTTGAACTCTCGGCATCCCCAGGCTTTACCCCTCACCCTCGGGGCTGCAATTATTACACTAAAAAGAGTAACTACCGAAAAGAATCTTAGGTCGAAGGCATTAAGATACAAACAAGGCCCAAATATTTGCCACCCGCACTCTACACTCAAGCAAGACTACAAGAAACCGGCGTATGATCGGAAAGTGTCACAACTGTGGGACAGTAATTTCCACCGATTTCAGTACGTTAGCCAACGAAAGCCACCCCATCCCTATAGATACACGAGGAAGGCCCCCACGAGGCAGCACCGACAACACCTTACAGATACGCAATAATGGAACTAGAAACTAATACAACAGTCGGGGGGCGACGAGTCGCTCACAAATTGGTCTCAGTGTAGAGGGCCACCATCGTGAAGGCTCTAGAGGGGGTCTAATCGTCATCCTCATCATCGGAAAAAGTAACGTGAGTTTTCTTAGCTTCCAACTTAGCCATCTCCTCCTCATCTTTGAAGAACGCTCCATATATAGGATGCACCTTCTTCTTGCTGGCCTTGAACCCTCCAGTTTGGTTAGCCAACTTGGCGAGTCCTTCAGACACCTACCAGCAGAGAAGCACCTTCCTATAAGCTCGTGAGAGGAGGCTTTGGTATTACCGGCTGTCCACAACGTTCGAGGAGGCCCTTAAAGTCGAAGCGAACTGCTTCTCTTCATCAGCGTTAAAGATAGTCACAGCATTACCA